GTGGAGGATTCACCCAAGGCCAAAACTATACCTGCCTAAGAGCCAGAGTAGTAACGTCCGTCCATGGGCAAGATTAAGTCAAGACTGGGTTCTAGGGTCCAGGACGGGCGTGGCAACTTTGGCTGACTTAATCTGATTGGGCAGGAATACAGTCTACTACCCATGGGTGGATCCTCCATCTCCAGTGCTGGAGAAATGGTCATAAGTCACTTTTTTCAGTGTCATTGTAAAAGTCACTAAGCCAGGAGTGTCAAACTCACATCATCACGTGATGTGTCATGACTTTTTTTGCCATTGCCGGCAATTGGGTGGGCGTGGTTTCACTATGATGCATCCGGCCCATAGGCCAGCAGTTTGACACCCCTGCACTAAGCAAACTGCTGAGGACTACGTGTACTTTATCACTTTTTTCCTTTTTTCTCATCAAGTTTTTGACACCTTGCTATGCGACTGGTGGTACTTGAATATTGCCATATCCTAAAAGTAGTACAATCTGTGAAAAGATTGAAAAGCACTGCTCTACACCACCTTACAAAATACTTTTTCAGCAAAATCAAAGTTTACCATAAATCTCTTTTAATTTTTTAATAGATGCATTTACTATCATACCTTACAAGAATAACTTCTAAGATACTATACTTCCATGCCAGTGTTTTGGTGGTGAATGGATCAACCGATGACAACACTGTTGCACAGGGGATGCCCAAGTTGGAGGTTCCTTTCATGTCCCCGTTAAGTTGCCCACCAAAGTGGTACCCTTCTATCTACTTGTGGTCACCCACTTTTGAACTGCTGGGTCGGCAGGAGCTGGAGCGTGTGACGGGAGCTCACCCTGCCATGCAGTACAACTGGGTCTTGAACACGAGCTGGGTGATCGTCAGCCCAGTGTCCTAATCATGTGAGCCCAGGCTTCCTCATCTGCTAGGATGATCAGATACAATAGGACACAGGGGATCTAGACCCTAAATCAATGCTTAGGTGAATTTTTGTAGGTAAAGCTCCCTTTGTCCCCTAAATACATTTGAAATAGTCTCTGTGGTTAGGGGAAATACCAGCCTCCTTGGGAGTGAACATGTTCACTGGGGAATAAGAATTCACTCACTTCTGCTTGGGTTGCAAAGTATCCTTAGGAAAGCTTATCAATGAAGGAAAAACCAAAAGGATGTTGCATTTTACTCTTAGACTCATCTGTGTAGTTGAAATATTGCTTGATTTATAACTGAATAGGATATTCATATTCCTTCTTATGTACTCTGTATTTGCCAACTACTTACTGCTTCCTGCCTCTTTGCTGGGGGATATCCCTGCCATAGTCTCAGCAAAGCAGATTGTGAGCATTTTCTCAGTGGGATGCCATTGAAACGACAGAAAATCAGCATTAGACTTGATCCATTAGTTCTTTCTTAGTCTTTTAGGTGTGGCGTTAGCACCATCTTGACTTTGTAAGTTACACATTCTAAGTCACTCAACCCAATTGTGCTTTATCCTACTTTATGGAAAAGGCCCTAATTACCTAATCCTTTCCTAAGTCAGACTTTTATTTGTTCAGAAATATAAAGAAGAAATGGACACACTGAATTACATAACCTAAGGCAGTACTATGAAAATATATGCTAAAATCTTGTATTTACACTGCCACCAAGTGTTAGGAAATACAACATCATGTGTTGAAAGTTATTAAAAACAAAATAGCTGTGGAACAGTGAGTACACAACTCCTGTCTGTAACTCCAGCCTTAAATAGTTTTAATATAAACGGAGGCCAACACAAATACAGCATTCCTAATCATAATTAGAAGGCTGGGAGTATATTGGTTTCCTATTATTTTTTATTTTAGATCATAACATTCATTTCAAAGACTTCTGCTCTGGTAATATACATTAAATAAAAAATAATAGGAAACTTAAAAAACCTCCATTCTAAAAATGTGATTAATTGTAAATACTTGTAAATTATATGCACTATGTTGTATATTGTCCTATGATTTAACGTCCTGGTTTTACTGATCTTCTCTGTTTATTTAGGATCAAGTGCCTACTGAAGAGATGGCTAGCACAAAGATTGATCCTTCCATCCATCCTTCCATCTCAGCTGTTGACCATAACATGTAGTATTAGTTTTAGACTACTAGCAGCATTATTTCCAGAGGGTGTTCATGTAAGAATACATGAATTTTAAATATACCAAATAATATTTCAATTAGGCATAACAGCTACTGTTCAATGGCATAATGTTATGTCCTGGTTAATTATACAGCAAAGTATTTTAGGCAAATCTTAGGAACCCAAAGTAGATTTTTTTTTTTGCGACCAATGTATTAATATTTGTGCCTGAAAATAAGAAGATATTCTGTAATAAGGAAGCCATCCAGTGGCAGTATTTACAATTGGGATATTTACTGATATCTTGATTTGGATCCATGGCATTTTTACTTTCAAAGAAACAAATTTATTACGAGTGATGAGTAAATACCATGAGGCAAAAACACCCATGGGTAGTCATTATAAGTACCTATTATTGATCAATTGATTTGTTATGTACATTTTGAAAAGTGAACAGAGTAAGGAATTGGAGCCCCCTATTTGCCTAGGGAAATTGTTATAATAATACTTTTAAAAAATGTATCTAAGATTATGGCTTATTCAGCAAAAAAAATTCATATTTTTATTTTTAAAAGCTCTAAAATGCTTTAAAATGTTAGCTAGAAATATTAGATACAAACATATTCAAGTGGTCAGAGCCAATTTATTACTATCAATTATCAATCAGCCAATCTATTATTGCCAATTATAAGTCCCAAAATAGTGTCCCCTCCTCTTCAAAAAATACCTTTTACTTTCTGAAACTGCCTTGTCCAAATTTTCGAAGATATCCTGGAAAAGTACACAGCTGGACTGACTGTTGATATTATATCCATAGGCTCTCTTCCAGTACTGTTTGAGATCATTCAGATACTCAAGTACCTAGAAATAAATATTAAACATTCTGTTGTAGTAAAAAATGCCAGTTTAGATGCGGTACTCTGGTATTTCACATTAAATGGCTTAGAGATAATACAGGTAGTCCTCAACTTATAAGTTCATTTAGTGACCATTTGAAGTTACAACATCACTGAAAAAAGTGACATGCCCATTTTTCACACTTGCAACCGTTGCAGCATCCCCATGGTCATGTGATCAAAATTCGGACACTTGGCAACTGTCAATGTTTATGACGGTTGCAGTGTCCCGGGGTCATGTGATCCTCTTTTGCAACCTTCTGACAAGCAAAATAAATGGGGAAGGCAGATTCACTTAACAACCTTGTTACTAACTTAGTCATTCACTTAACAACTGTGGTAAGAAAGGTTGTAAAATGGGGCAAAACTCACTTAACAAATGTCTCACTTAACATAAATTTTAGGCTCAACTGTGATCGTAAGTCGAGGACTACCTGTAGTGAACACTTACCTTGGCATCTTCTTTGTTGAACAGTGAACACCAGGGGGAGCTAATGTTTTTTATACTTAGTCCAAAGGAGCATGTAAAAAATGCCACTTGTAACAAATCTGCAGGGGGGAAAAAAAGGAACAATAGGATAGCAATAAACTATCTCAGTTTTTAAGATACTTATTCAAAAATGGCAAGATGAAAAAAACACTTCAAAAAAGGAGAAAACATTTCTTTACAATAGTACCATATTATTGAAGAAAAAAGAAAACTGAAACAATAATCCAGGAATACAGCCCTATGTACAGAGAAACAATGTGGTGGAACACAAAAGAACCACAAACCAAGTTGTCACTTCTTTTCCCAGACAACTTGAAATTCCACTGAATATATAGTGCCATATAAAATGTATTGGTTTAATCTACAATTTCTGCATCTACAATTTACAGTCAGATGTCAAGATGTATAAAATATAAAGGACGAATTGGCAGATGTTTAATATAAATTTATCTATATTATTCATAAATGATATGCAGATGTGTGTTAAGGGTTTGCAGTGAACTTGATTAGTATAAGCAAAAACAGAATTTTTATTAGTACATATTTTCTGGAGATGCTTGCAAACTTGGTTCAAATGCTTGTCCATTTAATCTGCAAAATGAAACTTAAATACATTATGTTTTCTACATTCTCATACATAGGCAGATACTAACATACTATACAAAATAAGGGTGCCTACTATATAGGACAACATAATTATTTACCTACTTTTGTACTTACTGTATTCTTTATCATTCATGATATTCTAATTAAAAAGCTCTCTGCTTATGTAACTCCATGCTGTTACTCTGATGAGTTTTAATATTTTTCTTCTATGAGGGTTTTTGAAAAGTCAGTGATCCTAATATCTGTAGTGTGCATTTACACAAACCTTACCACAAGAAAATATAAACAATGACTGATGGCAAGGATATTTATTAGTTAGTAGCTACTCGGCTTACTAGCAGTAAATGTTCTACAGCAGTTACATGTTGGGGATTGTATTACCTGAGCTTTGCATGAAAATTGCTGATAGGTTACTTCCTTTCTGTTCTCCACACTTGATCATACAAAGCCTTTCCAGTAGACTCAGTGGTAAACATCTGTCTCCTCTCTCCAGGCTACCACATAAACATGAATCAAGTTTCAGTTTTTACTCTTGGTGGCAAATTTACAGGTAGTCCTTGATTTATGTCCATTCATTTAACAGCCATTCGAAGTTATAACAGTGTTGAAAAAAGCAATTTACAGGCAGTCCTCATAGTTACAACTGTAGCCATCCCTATGGTCACATGATCAAAATTTGGGTGCTTGGCAACTGGAGTGTATTTACAATGGTTGCTGCATCCTAGGATCACATGATCGTCTCGTGACCTGTCTAGGAGGCTTCTGACAAGCAAAGTCAATCAGAAAAGCTGTACTCATTTCATGACCATCGTGATTTGCTTAACAACAGTGGCAGAAAAGGTCGTAAAATTGGGTATAACTCAATGACCGCATTGTTAGTGATGGAAGTTCTGTGTCAATTGTGGTCATAAGTAAAGGACTACCTTTGTGCACCTGAGACATAATGCCCACAACCACTGCCAGGACACTTTGGCATTGAAGAGGTTCAAATTCAAGTGATATTATCATGTTTAACATTTCATGTCCATTTGATCTTTATAATAACTGAAGACAGGCAGCAAACACAATAAGCTTCAAGAGTTCAAAGACTATTACCTGCATTTAAGTCTTCCACTGGTAGACATAAAGTATGTGTGGTTTTATTCACTATCTTCATCATCTCAGGGCTTTCCTTAAAAGCATCAACCTCATATAATGCTGTATCGTTGTCTTCAACATCTCGTACAAATTTTTCACAATGATCAAAAAATCTCATCAATTTGTCATTGATTTCAAATGTTTCTGTCAAGGTAACTGAAAATAAATGATGTTAGCAATTCCTTTATTTCACATACTATCATTATGTTATCACATTGCTGTTATAGCTACTAGTGTACACTTAAAATAATTAATTACATTAAATCAGTTATTTAAATGATGAAGATTTCACTAAATATCCATTGAAAGATTTTTCAGCATCACTGGGTATGGCACAAATAGCATGTTATGTCCACTTACATGCAATGGTATCATGTCAATTTAATATGCGATATTAACAGATGCACATGGACCTCAATAGGCATCTGGTGAAAACAAAGAAGCCATAACTCAATCCAAGATTTTAGTTTTCCATGCAAGTTCCAGGGGAACTGACAGCTAGTAATGATTTTTTGCAACTATTATAATTGACATCTTAGTCTGCCCATTGGTATTAACTGACGGATCACTGTAAGTGGTTGACTATTCTGTAATACTTCGATGCAAAATGATACTTAACAGATGCCTATTGAATATGACTGTTACTGAAGATATCTTGCTTACTATTACTTGGTTTAAATAAGACCTTCTATAACTGAGTCTTGACCTCCAAAACAATCCCTCCTCCATATAATCTTATGAAATTGTTTGTTTCGAAAAAAACAATAAAGTACTTGAAAGGATGGGGATCAGATATTTTATGTTGGAGGTATAAGAAATTTGAGGGGTTGACTCACCTACCATATGTCATTGTGTGATCATTTAGTACAGGTAGCCCTCAAGTTATGACCACTTATTCAATGGCTGTTCAGAGTTACAACAGCACTGAATGAAGGGGATCAGAGTTGTAGCCATCATAGTGTCCCTGCAGATCTGTGATCATGATCTGGGTGCTCGATCCTGGCTCACAATTATGTTGTAATGAGCCATGATCACATGATTGTGATTTCAGACATTCTCAGCCAATGGAGTCAATAGGGAAGCCAACAGAAAGTTGGAAGTTGCTCTTGTTCCTGCCAATTTTTCAGATGACCATGGTCTGTAGCACTGCCTGTGACACGCAACCATATTCCGTAGCGTCTACCCGTGGCACCCCCCACTCCTCCACCAGCCTGCTTGCTTGGACTCTTGCCTCTTCCTGCTTAATGGCCTGCATGATCCTTGGGTTGCAATAGCAAATGGGACTGTGGGATTTCAGTTGCTGAGCAATGTGGTCAGGTGATATTGGGCTTTATAATCATACTGCTTAGTCACAGGGATTGTGTATTGTGTATATTAGTACAGGACCCCCCCAAGCCCCGGTCCATGGACCAGTACCGGGCCGCACAAACAAGCAAAGCCCCATCCACAGGATGCGGGCAGCACACAAAAACACGCACCCTCCGGTCTGCGGAAAAACCTCTCTCCACGGAACCGGTCTCGTGTCCAAAAGGTTGGGGACCTCTGCATTAGTAGATTTATGGAAAATCTTTGAAAGTTAATGATGTTAATGCAATCTTGAACTATATACCAAAATTTTGGGATTTAACTGTTTATTGGGTATTGTATCAAGCACTGGGGGTGGGGGTGGCAGAAAGAATACAAAGAAATTGAGGGGGGGGAGTGGAATTATCCCCAGATATCAAGGAGTTGTTGTTGGAAATGTATGATCTATCTGTTTTGGGAAAGGCAGTATCTTCTCCCCCCCCCAAAAAAAAGGATCATTCCAGGCCCAAAGACTGGATGATAGATCTTTTATGGCTTGGAAGGGGAGAGCAGCAGGCAGCTGCTTGAAACAACTGGCCAAAGATAATGCGACCAGAAGCAGCAACAGCAGCAGGTCCAACTGACCAAGCACCAGGCTGACTCCACTGAAGAACTGATTGGATGGAACAACGCCCTAACATGGTAACTAGACCTTGGATGTGATGGTGCTGGCCCCTCCTCTATCCAGAAGTCCAGATAGCTTGGTATTGTCCAATTTGTGCCAAGTGCCAGACCAAAAGAGGACCATTTCAAACTGTGATCTTGGATTGGACAGCCTTGTAATTGCATGGTAAATATGGCCATGGAGCTAGCTGCTTGTACTATTTGCAATGGTTGGCTGCGGGAACTAGCTGTACTTCTACAACTGATATTTTTCAGTAGTCTTTGTATAGACATTCTGTGACCTACAGACCTGCAGTGCTTCATACAGGGCTAGGTAACTGCAATCATCAATTCCACACTTTGTGACAACTTTACAGGAAATTTTGCAAAGGTGCAAAAATGTTTTTTAATCACAATACAGCAGCCAGTTATATACCTTCAAGTTGCAATGCTTTATGGAGATGAAGATAAGTGTTATGATTTCCTTGCTTGAAATGTCTCAGAGCAGGGGTCTCCAAACTTGGCTGCCTTAAGACTTGTGGACTTCAACTCCCAGAATTCCTCAGTCAGCATGGCTGGCTGAGAAATTCTGGGAATTGAAGTCCACAAATCTTAAAGCAGCCAAGTTTGAAGACCCCTGTCTTAGAGTACCATCTCTGATTATTTGCATTGCCATGGTGAGTGAATGGGTATACAAAGTTGAACTATTCTTAGACACATTCATAACTCAATCTCTACATTTTAGGCAAAACAGTGGTATTCTATGGAACATATTTAAGGAACACTAATTGTTAATACATTAACCACTTTTACTTTTAATTAGATAGTCCTTGATTTAGGAGCATTCATTTAGCTACTGTTGCTGAAAAAAGGGACTTATAACTGATCTTCACACATATGACTACTGCAGCATCTCCCACAGTCATGTATTAAAAATTCAGGTGCTTGACAACTGGCTTGTATTTACAATGACTGTAGCACCCCAGAGTCATGTAACTGCTATTTATGACCCTCCCAGCTGGTTTCTGACAAGCAAATTCAATAGCGCAGGGGTGTCAAACTGCCGGCCCGTGGGCCGGACACGTCATCTGGAAGCTGCGCCCATCCCATTGCTGGCAATGGCAAAACCGGCCCGATACATTGTGCGACGTCATGTGGCGACGCGAGTTTGACATGTCTGCAATAGGGGAAGATTGAGATTTGCTTAATGATTCAGGAATGACCATGGTGATTTGCTTAACTAAGGCAAAAAGGCCACAAAATCAGGCGTGAGTCAGTTAATGATGGCCTTGCTCAGTGATAGAAATTCCAATCCCAATTGTGGTCATAAGTCAAGGACTATCTTTAATTTTGAATTAATTTTAATTACTGCTTGATTAAGCCACTGTTGCTGGGAAAAAGGAACTATTGTTAGTCATCTCTCAATCTGGCCTGGCTTATCCCCAGCTTTTGCCATGTGCAAATCCATGAGGAACAACGCAGGGATTACAATCTTTTTGCTGATGTTTCTGATACTTTCAAAGCACAGCAGAAAATGAGAGATTGGCCTAAAATACAGTAACCTGCCAAATTGGTGAAGAAATAACAATATACCATTTAGATATACATTTTGTAGCTATTGAATCCCACTCTCAAAATGCTGGTATTGCCATTGTTTCCCAAAATGGATAGCTATTTTCTATCTTCTTTTCCAAATTCGTCAAAGTAAATAGATCAAAGACATGCCACTACAATTGAAGATACTGGAACCTTAGTATAGGTTTTATATCCCTTCCAGTTCCATCCCAACCCAAAACACAGAATCATAGAGATGGAAAGGATAATTTAGTCCAGTGTTTTTCAAACTTGGCATGTTGGCTGGGGAATTCTAAGAACTGAAGTACACACATCTTAAAGTTGCCAAGTTTGAAAAACTTGATTACAGCCAACAAAAGGCACTAACTTTAAGATAGACGTGACAGATGATTACTCTGCCCTTGTTTGAACAAATTAATGAAAGGGAACCCATTATCTCCCTTGAAAATTGGTTTTACTGTTGAATGCTTTGAGATGTTTCTTAATATTTAGCTGAAATCTGCCTTCTCGTAACTTAAGACTATTACTAGGCTCCAGAACAACAGAAAACAAATCTTAACCTTCTAAGTCAGGGGTCTTCAAACTTGGCCCTTTTATGACTTGTGGACTTCAACTCCCAAAATTCCTCAGCCAGCGTGCCTGGCTGAGGAATTCTGGGAGTTGAAGTCCACAAGTCATAAAAGGGCCAAGTTTGAAGACCCTTGTTCTAAGTGATAACACTTCATGACTTGACTAAAAATGTTACGGTACCTTTGTACACTTGTCTTTTCTTAAGGGTAAATATATTTGTATTCTCTCTTCAGAGGACTTCTTTTCAAGTCATCTGGTCATTCTTTCCCACTGCTCTAAGAATAGGTCACAGTACTCTCAGGTTGAGGTCTAACCAGCACAGATTATATTGGAATTACCATTTCCTGAGACTTACTTCAAGTTTGGAAGTTTGCACTAGCTAGTTTGATTTAGCATTTAAGACATCAGGCTAGAAACCAGGAGACTGAGTTCTAATCCTGCCTTAGGCATGAAAGTTGCCTGGGTGACTTTGGGCCAGTCACTCTCTCTCTCTCTCTCTCAGCTCAACCCACCTTACAAGGTTACTTTGGTGGAGAAAACAGGAGGAAAAAGGAATACTAGGCATGGTTGCCATCTTGAATTATTTATAAAAATATAATAAAAGTGATAAAAATCAATGTAAATTCTTCTATTGAAGCCATCTCACACTGATCACTCATATTTGGGTGACCATCTACAATTCTGAGATCATAACTATTAGGAGTGCTTGATAGGTTGTATGGTATCTACAATTTCCACAAAATAATAAAACAAAAGTACATTTAAGCCAAGGTGAATCAGACTACTTTTCCATATGCTGGCTATAACTTTCAGTACGAAGAAATACTATGAGCAGTTTAGAAAATTAGATATTTGCCCAAAGCATTTTTCCCAATCTACACCTGAATATTATTTCAACACCTACTCAGTAATACCTTTCATGAACTATAATTATTACTTACATAAAATTTAATAAGAATATATGAAAATATACACAAGCCTCATATAATCCTCTCCACTCTAGGTCTTGTTAACAGGACAAAATAAACAGAAAGTAAATATATATAAAAATGCTTTAGTTTTCT